GGTGGGTTTTTGTTAAATGTGAGCCAAAATCATCACAATTAAAAGAACCAAAGACTTAAACTACTTCAGTCTGTGTGCATTGAATTTATTTAATACACGAGTTTCACAATTTGAGTTGAATTACTGAAATAAATGAACTTTTCCACAACATTATAATTTATTGAGATGCACCTGCATATATATATATATATATAAAATTGGTTTATTTACATAGCGACAGTACAAAAAAAGAAAACTGATTCCGGCCAAATATGCATTATACATAGAGAGCATAGCATAAACTCATTTGCATCTCAGGTCCTTAGAACATGGATGACGAGAAATAAATGAATAAATAAAAGCTCTGACATCCCTAATATTACCAATATAATAGCCATACATACACATAATAAAAAAAAAAAAACTTGCAACATATAGAAATACATTTTAACATGCTTAGTCATGTACTGCTTTAACTGAATCTGGATTATTCATTATAATGTGTGTCACACACACTGACTGTGGATTACCTCCAGTTTCTTTCCATCTTCATCATGTACAGACATGGTGACCTCCACGTTTTTAGGTGTCGTCTTACTGCCTTTATCAAAATCCCCCTGAACCAGCGTCACGTAAATGTCATTCCGAACATCACCTACAAAAACACACACAAAGTCTCAGTGTCGCTTATTAACACGATCGATGTGTGATCTACAGTTAAAAATAGCCAGCTTACAATACAGACCTTTTATTAAGAAAATGCACAAAAGTAGCTGAAAAAGTGCTGCTTGCACATCCATTGGTCATAATCAGCATGTCAGTGTTGTTTATACTCAAGTCACATTTGGAATTAAATAGCTGCTGTACCTTTAAGATTTCCAAATGTAAATGTTGTGATTGTTTAATTTTTGCATGTGAAATGAATATCAGCAACAGCATGAATGCATGCATGAAACTGTTTTCAAAACTCTTGAGAGGTTTTTTGTTGATATGTAAATGTGGATAGTCATGTGATAATGACCATTATGACGAGTTCCTCGTTACTGCAGCGTAGTTTTCATGAACGGTCTGGGTTTTCATTGTCACTGTTCTATGTTAACTGTAATTCAAAGAGGAGCAATAAAATTATGTTTTATTGGAAATACATTCAGTTTGATGATGGATACCTGGCATGATGATTTCTGGGAAGCCCATTTTGCGAGCGACGGCGGTGGAACGGTCCACCAAGTGAGGGAAATCTTTACGGATCTGATGAATATCACCTGGAAGCAACTTCAGCGTAACCCACAAACCTGAGGACCGGAGGAACAGACTGCAGTTAAACACACACACACTTCCTATTTGTGCTTTACAGCTCACGGGATCTTAACTCATTTTAATACCTCATTATTAGTGATCTACAAAAAAATAATTAAGAATACCGGATTAATTTAATTGCTGAGAAAATACCCGCAGGAAGCAGAGCGACTGTGTTATTTAAAGAGTAGGGATGAATTGTGCTGTGAATATTTTATACTAAAACATTAAATGGGTCCTATTAAGCCTTTTCACTTTTTTAATTTTAGTCAGTATGTAGTGTGTATGTTTGGGCATAAAAAAGATCTAGAAAGTAACAAATCTGATAATACTAAATGTCAAACAAAGAAAGTTCACACCATTATAGTAATAGTATTTGTTGTGCTGAATTTAAGTTATGCTCACTTTAATGGCATAAAAATATATTTTTTATGTGTATAACACATTATTTGCCTAATAATAATAATAATAATAATAACAACAACAACATGTTAGGAAAAATGCTAAATAAAAAAATATATAAAGTATACATTATGATAAATAAATAAATAACTAACTAAAAGACTTTCCAGTCAGTGAATCTGTACAGGTCATTTTCAAAAAAACAGAAGAAAAAAAATGTCCTTTACTTTTAAAGATCCTTTCTACCCATAATGCTTGTCATGTCACCTGAATGCCTCCATCATAAATCCTAAATTAATTGGTCTTAATGGCTCCACCTCTATTACCCTCACTGCTGCTCCTGATTAACCTTGATAATAAATGAGAAGCACCTCTTCATATCTGACTGATCTTAGATTGTACTGGAAGTTCATGCACATTTATCTCAATAAACTGCTTGTGATACCAGGTTTTATCATGCTAGGAATCACAGGACGGATGGATTATATTTGTGATGTGATCTGACAGCACTGCATCCAGACATATTCAGTTCCCATTCTCTTCAGCATGAACACATGCTTATTAAACCCAATTCAACTTTAACTAATTTTGCTCAATAACTTTGTCCTTTGTAAGATTTAGGCCCCTTTAGATAGTGAAAGTCTCTTGGCAGGAACTCAGTTTGATTGTATCTGGGACAGTATCGCTCTCCATCTCCACACATCAGTCTTATCTTCCTGTATTTTTAACTTTCCAAACTTTAACTAGGCTACAAAATGAAGCTGCAGATCATTAACAGCAGCCAAATAACCATCTCGGCTTTCTTTTGAATCAGGAATATTTACTTATGCAGATATAATTCTGTACCTGCAGGTTCATTTTTACTGTAGGCTAAAACACGGCATAAGAGAAACCTTCTGGTAATGTAGGGTCCTAGAAAATCAGATTTATTCATTTCATTTTCCTAAATTTCTATTTTTTTATTGTTTTCTGGCAGCTCTGGCAGTTATATGAAGGCATGAAATATTAATAATTTAACTGATATTTTTTTTAATTTAAGGAAATAAAAATGAAAAGAGGTTTACGGTTACAAAAAAATCAATATGAAATTGGCAATTATGCAATATTACTTAAAGTGCTTTAGTCATTTTATTATTACTTTGATAAGTGCATTCTACTGTACAACAGTAATATATTTCTGTCACAATTTCTTCAAGTTGAACCAAACCTTTATTTTGACGGGTTACCATGAAGACCTTTGAGTTTCTGCATGTTTAATGTTTATGATGATAGTTTTTTTTTTTTAAATTAAGTGTTGAAATGCTGCTAAAATGACTCAGAGCAGCTCTGGAGATGAAAGGTGTTCACCCCAGTGACCTTTACCTTGACCTTTGTGATTGACCTCTTTGGCGGCGATGACCTTGTTGATGACGGTCTGGAGGAAGTCGTTCTCGCTCGCCACCCTGGATGAAAAACGGGAGATGTTCAGCTGCCTGTGGCGAATGGCGTCATCCAACGCTAGCCTGGAGTTCACACGCGACAGGCAACACGCCAACGGGGAGGAGGAGGAGAGAGAGAGAGATAAGGAAGACAAAGAGAGAAGAAGAGTAGTAGCCACAGAGAGCCAGATAAGAGTAGACATGAGCAGAAGAGAAAAAAAAAGAGATGGATGAAGAAAGCGAGAGGGAGAGAGAGGGAAGACACCAAACAGTGATACAGATACCATGACAGGGACAAAAGCCATTTTGTTAGCAAACAGTAATGCGGGATGGGTGACAGGAGAGACACAGAAAGATGCTGTAATTTCAGAAATGACCCTCATCTCACCCAAACACAGATGAAGCCACTGCCTCTATAAAAGACACAAAACCTACTGAGCTGCCTTAATACTAATAATAAAACATCACAGTCGCACGACACACGCATGATACCGAATTACAACAGTAATCATAGTAATTATAAAGCTAAGTAATTATAGGACATAATTAATCCAAGATGAAGGACAAGGTCAAATTGATATTGATTATAAATAAAATGTACTTTAAAATACATTTGTATTTATATTTGATATAATACAATGAAATAATATGAAATATTATATGAATATTGTAGTATATGAAAACATTTATTTATAATATAACAATCAAAAAACAATTACATTTTCTTACAAATATTAATTTATTATAATTATATGGCCCATTTATTATTATTATTATTATTATTATTATATACCACATATATAAAATGTTATATTATATATAATATCTATAAAAACCTTTAATAACAATAATAATATTAATTAAAAAGTGTTTTATATATATGGTATTATATATAAAATTGTATGCATGTAGTAAATATATTAATAATAATAATAATAATAATAATAATAATGTAACATACTAATTTTAATTCAGTGTAAATTAACATATATTTTAAATAACATATATAATATATATTTTTTAAATCATTATTATTGTTTATTATTTAAATATTTACATTTTTATATTATAATGTAAATAAACTGTATTATTTAAAATTTAATTTAATTCTAAATAATTTATTCTTAAAAATATTTTTTATTATATATAATGTAAAATATATAATGTACAAATTGTAATTCAATCTAATTCAATCAAATTTATATATATATAAGATAAGATTGAATAGTATTATATATATTACTATTTATTATTATTATTATTATTATGGACTTGCTATTTGTTGCTGCCTATGAGAAGCATTTAAATCAGTCACAAGTTTCTGTTTCAGTTAGGATGCTGCCTTAAAAGGTAGCTGGCTATGTAGGCAGCAAGACAGTCCACTAGGTTTTGGACCAGAGCTACAGTAATCTGAGGTCACAAATAAGCTGCTACAAAGCAAAAACCTCCCTAAAGTGACAACATGCATCTTAAACACCCCCACAATACCCAGCAAACCAATGGGACTCCTCTCTGAGTGACCCGGCTGGGCTGTGAGAGCGGCAAAGCAGAGAAAGACCGAAGTAGAGTCTTACTGAGTGACAGAAGGAATGACGGAGTGACTGTGAGGCACGTATGACTCCTCTACAGAATAACAGGGAGTTTGTGTACTGTTGTCTTCAATTAAATACACAGAGTATTGAGATGATACAATAGAAATCAGAAAAACAGACAAACACTAACAAACTTACACGCAAATTAGCATTTATATGCATGACTACACAATATACTTGACTGATGGTCAAAACTGTTCCATCATAAAAGCTGTCGTGTTGATGTCATGAAGTCATACTCACGGCTGGAAGGGAATGAAGTGTTGCTTGTCCTCATCGTCCATCTTGCCCGTGATGATGTCTGTGACGTCCATTACTGCAGAGAGAAGAATGAGACGAGAAGAATGTCTGCAAATGACCAAACATCATGTCATCTCATGAAAATGAGAAATAATCAGCTCATATTTCATCCCGTTAAGACTATAAATATTGATTGTTTTTTGACATTTACTGTTACAGTCTTAGCAAATTCACAATTTTGAAAGCATGATACATTTTCAAATAACTCAAACAACACCAATTACAGTAATTACAAAAACATGTAGTAATAAAAGTAATTATAGCATGTAATTCACCCAAGAGAGTGAACACGGTAAAATTAATATTGATTATAAATAAAATAAAACTTAAAAAAAAAGTTTCTGTTTGGTATAACAATAAAATAATTATATAACTATAATAAATAAATAAATTAAATAAATAAATATTATATGAATATTGGTATTATTTGAATATTATTTATTTATTATATAACAAAGTAAAAATGTAATTAATTTACTTACTTATATATATGCTGATTAAAAATCCCTGTGCACAGGTTTTAATTAAAATTAATCGTATTTAGCCCAATTCCCATTACTATAATAGTGATATTTTACTTAAATTGTGTTATGCATACAGCATAATGAAAAATAAATCAATAAAGCTAGTAATTGCTGTACCAAACTTAATTAATTTAATAAATAAAATAATGTATTACTTTATGACTTGTCTGCATAACAGAAAATAAAATTTTGTGGTGAAAAAAGTAAAATTGTCATGAAAATAATACTTCAAATCTTGATGTCTTTTTTAAAAAGCATTGTAAATAAAACTACTTATTCATCCATCCATCCATCCATTCATTCATTCCAGCAATTACTACCTTGATGTAAACTTTAATGTATTCAAAATGTTTGTTTGTTTATTTTGGAACTCATCACATCACTGTAAAACTCTGTAAAAAATAAACCATAGTAAAAAGCACAAGAGAAACACTCATGGAAGTTTAAATTTGTGGTTTATAAGGTGAGAGCAGGCAAAACTTTCTGGATAAGCTGTCAAGCAGCAGCTATTACTGACTGAACACATAAACATCGCCTCTAAATGGCCATTTGGCCCTGGTGTGCAGCAGTGGCTGTGCTGAGATTGGGTTTACAGCAGGCAACAGGAAACTGATGAGCCATAATGGAAGCGTTGGCTTGTCTCTGAAAGTGACACATTAAAGCTGACATTGCACATACAGGTTCTGCCTCTACCTGCCTGACCCACATACAGACATACTACTAACGTCCATAAGCAGAGAGAGAGAGAGAGAGAGAGAGAGAGAGAGAGAGAGAGAGAGAGAGAGATAGATATTTCCCACTTCAAAACCCGTTTGATGTTCGTTGCTCCTGTTCAGCCTTATTTATTTATTTACAACAGAAGAACAGATTTTTCCTTTTTTCCATCAAACGAAAGAATGAGAAACCCTCTGTGTACAACAAACTGTGAGAAACACACTGCACAATAATCAACCGAAGCATCTGGGATTGGCAACAGTAATAGTGACATAGGAGACAAAAATGTCAGGGTCACTTCACTCCAACCAGATCAAGGCATCTAATGCATATTGTGATGTAATGTAGATGTAATAAAACAGTATTTAACTCCAGGTAGACAAAATCAATGCAAAGGCCATGTTTGTTTTAAATGCATTAGAAATGTATGAATGCAGAGAGATTGTTGTGTCAACTTTTGTACTGCATATAGCACAGCTTATATGCAATCTATTTTTCCAGCTGATTTCACACAAGGCTTGAACAATTGTATTTGAAGGTGTATGCAATCACTCAAATAAATCTGACAAATAAAAATACTGATCAAGACAAAACACCTGCTACCCACAATTTAAAACAAGATAAAGACCCTTACATTTTACAGCCCAAACTGTGGCAACTCAGTATTACCTGTCATTGTAAATAAAATAAAATAAAATAAAATAAATCAACAAACAAACAGAATGTCTGAATTTAGTGAATATGTTCAATTTAATTATATCTAATATAAATACATATATATTTATATCTTTTTTTATTATATCTAATAAAAACATCTCATTCTTATAGGTTCATAGTAGTAAGAAATAAAAAAATTATAAATATAAAATACAATAAAATTAAAATAAAAAATTAAATTAAGTAAAGTCTGAATTTAGTGAATATGTTAAATAATTTCTAATGAAATAGCTCATTCTTATAAGTTTACAATAGTAACAATAAAATCAAATAAAAAAAAATTATATAAATAAAAAATATAAATATCATCAAAAACAAATTCTGTTTTTGAATTCTGAAATTCTGAATTTAGTCAATGTTAAATTTAATTTTATCTAATAAAAAATATCCCATTCATACAGGCTTACAGTAGTAACAATGGATGCATGGTTGGTGTCCCTGTAGATGAACAGGTCATTTTGCTTCCGGTGTTTGGTGTGGGCCTCTACCTGCCACACCGAAGGGTCTGCGGAGGCCGGACGTTAGTTTCTTAGTGTTGTTATCTCTGAGCTCCATCCGGCCCACTCGAACGATCTGACAAACAAAGCTGATTTTCTCCCTCTTCAGGTCTTCGCTCCCCAGATCCTGGAGAGACACACACAAACACACAAGTGAGAGCGTTAAAAAAAGAAGCATGCACAATCATGTACTCAAATAGCCCATATTATTTTGAGCCTCCAAGCGCTATTGGCCATGCACCAGGTGTTTATGCCTACAACCATCTAGTTAAACTCAAACTCGTTAGTTGAGCAAAACTAACCGGGAAGGAGACGACTGATGCATGGAATGGTTCGGTGTACACAGACTGTTAGTATGCAGTCCAGGTGAAGGGTAAATTGCTCGAGCGGTGTTTGATTGGGGGCAGCAACTCATTCCCCGCTGGGGGTTTGTGCAGAGAGCAGAGGACTCTGGGAAAACAAACTGACCCTCATAGCCAGCATCTATTAAAAAAATGACCTCTAGCAAATGAGAATGTGTGGGTGCA